GTGCGGGCAGCCTGCCTTTGCCAGTGGCTTCAGGTTTCACCAAAGGCTCAGAGGTGTGAGGGCCCAGCCAGGTTGGGCTGACTGTCCGCAGACTCCCTCCTGCTCACTTCTGCCCATGCTCCCGGAGCTTCCCTGGCATCTCCTGCCGCTGAAACCTCCGAGCTGTGGCCTCACTTCGGCCTTTAAAAGGCCCTTATCAGCCTGCGCAGCTCCCAGCCCCTGCACAGCTGCGGCCTCTTCCGGGCTCACACGGATCCCAGGCCCCTTGCGCAGGGGTAGCCAGAAAATCTCAGAAAACCGGGGTGCCAAAAGCTTGTGAATATTGTGACACACATGAGCGCTTGCACAGGAGTGGACCCCCTCTGGAAGGACCTCACAGTGGGTCAGTGCTTGGGCGGCGGGGCGCAGGGCTCCACCCCCACGGCCCCGGTTTTTTGGGGGGGGCCGCGGTCGGAGCTCACCCCCTCTCCCCTCCCCATTCCCGCCCGCCTCTGCTGCAGATCGAAACCCACAAGCTGACCTTCCGCGAGAACGCCAAAGCCAAGACGGACCACGGGGCGGAGATCGTGTACAAGTCGCCCGTGGTGTCGGGGGACACGTCCCCGCGGCACCTCAGCAACGTGTCCTCCACGGGCAGCATCGACATGGTAGACTCGCCCCAGCTCGCCACCCTCGCCGACGAGGTGTCTGCCTCCCTGGCCAAGCAGGGTTTGTGATCAGGCCCCCGGCGGTCACTAATCGTGGAGAGAAGAGTGAGAGTGTGGGAAAAAAGAATGATGACCTGGCCCTTCGCCCTCTGCCCTCCCTCAGCTGCTCCTCACAGGTCTGGTCACCGGTTAGTCACTTAACCTGCTTTTGTGCTCGGCTTTGGCTCGGGACTTCAAAATCAGTGATGGGAATAAGAGCAAAAATTCCAGCTTTCCAAATTGATGGGTGGGCTCCGCAGAATAAAATATTTTTAAAAAACGTCTGAAAAGGTGGCCACACCCAACCTTTCCTTGGGCAATGAGTTTGGATTCTTCCCCCCCCCCCTCTGAGAAGAGGGAGGAGGAGAGGCTCTGAAAACTGATTCTGGGGAATTTCAAGGGACTGGGGGGCCCCTCCTCTGGCCCCACCCTGGGGTGTCACAGAGACAGCGGCAGCAACAAAGGATTTGAAACTTGGTGGTCAGGAGCCACCTGGCGGGAGGGCAGTGTCGGGGAGCGGGGAGGCGGGGCAGGGGCGCGCGGGGGCGGGAGAGTGCGGTTGAGTCAGCGCGGACCTGCTCCCTGCCCGCGAGGGGGTGCAGGGCCAGGGCCGCAGCCACCAACCCCCGCAGCACTCCTGGACAGACGAGCGGCCCAGCAGCCCACTGCGCCCCGTGGGCACCTGGCTCCAGGCCCGCCCACGCCGCGCCGGCCAGCCAGAGGGTGGCCCCCGTGGACTCCGTCCCCAGAGAAGTCTGACCTTGACGTCCTGAGCGCTGGCCTCTTCCTCCCTCCCTGCAGGGAGGGGATGATGGGCCCTGGGGCCTCCCTCTGCCCCATGGAAACCAGAAAGCCGGTTTTGTTGAGTTCTGAAGGTTGGAACTGCAGCCACGATTTTGGCCACCTCACGGATCTGGGACTTTAGGGCTAACCAGTTCTCTTTGTAAGGACTTGTGCCTCTTGGGGGACATCCGCCTGTTCCCAAGCCTGGGCCCCAGCATCTCTGGAGCGCTCGGGGTCCGGGAGGTGGGTCCTGAGCCTCCACCCCTCCCACGGCCACTGCAGCCCCCGCCTGCCCCGCCATGCCTGTGTGTCTGCCGTGCGGAGCTCATCACTGCCTGTACCCTCATGACGTCACACTGTCCCAGTACCCAGCCTCACCACCCTGTTCTCAGCAGGGGACATTGTTACTCTAAGGGGCGACAGGAAAGCAGGGAAAGCCCAGCACAAGGTGGGCGCTCTGCTTCACTCGTCCAAGCAGCACGTCCTTCACAATGAACAAAGCTGATGACTTGACTGGGTTCCCTGCCCCACCTCCCAGGGCGGGGCTCAGCGAGCACCCCTCGTCTGGGCCTTGCTGACTGGGTGCGCCTTCCTCCCCACCCCAGAGGGCCGGGTCCCCTTCTCCAGTCAGCTGGCAACAGGTGGGACTTCCTGACTGCTGGAGCCGGCCCGGCCTGGGCAGGCCAGGCCCTCGGGCTGGACCACGCTCCTCTCCCCAGTTGCAGCCCAGTTCGAGACAGCCAGCCTCTCAGCCCAGTGCAGCTCACCCCGAAGTGCAGAGTCGCCCCCCAGCCCCCGAGGGACGCGCCCCTTTGGAAATGGCTCTCCCCGTCCCAGCTGGAAGCAGCGCTGTCTGCCCGCTGGAGCAGCTGAACGTCGCCCGCCCTCCCTGCCTACCTGCACCCTGTCGTGTGGTCGTGGGGTTTGTCTGTTTATGCTTGGATTTGCCAGAGTGACTATGCTAGTGGAAAGACAAAAAACAAAAAAACAAAAAAACAAAAAAAAAAACGGATGCATGTATCTTGAAATGGTACCTGGCCCACCCTCGCGGGTCCTCGGTGTCTCCCACCCCACCCTGGGACTTGGCTCCAGGCAGCTGGTGGGCCATCCCGGTGGGCCTCCGACTGTTGAAAGGATTCATCGGCATCTGGGACCCAACAGTCCGGATTCTGACCTCGGAGAACCCTCAGCCTCAAAGGCCTGAAGCAGAAGCTGTGTGCCCTGCTCCCTGCCCAGGGCTTCCTCTCTCGGGCAGAGCGTCCTGCTTTGTGGCTGGCCTGGTTGCAGCATGAAGATGACCCTCTCTGGAGAACGAACCCACAGCAGCCCCGGGGCATCCAGCTCCCAGAATGAGGAGAAGGCACAGCCCGGGCTGGAGAGGTCTGCAGCCCCTTTCCCACCCGCCCCTCCACCCCCCAGCTCCTGGAGCCTCTGTGCAGCCCACCCCTCAGCCCGGGTCCACTCCAGGCTCTCCCTCTGGAAGGACTTGGCCGCGGCTTGGCACGGATTGCCTGTCCTGGACTCGCCCCTGCCTGCCTAAGGAAGAGCAAGCCAGGAGGAGGCGCCATTCCCAAAGCCTTGGCCACAACTCCAGCGGCCCTGCAGGAGGCCCACCTGGCCCCAGGCAGGGAGTAGCCTTTGTAGAAAATGGGTTTAAAGGAATTGCGCAGCCTTGGTCCCAGTTCAGCTTCTGGGGGCTGGTTAGTAGGAGTCGGGAGGGGGGGGTTCCCCTCAGCTGCTGGAGGCTTCACTTGTAGCCAGAGCTTTCTGTACAAGGATTCGTCTGGACCCAGGATGTTCACCGTGGTTCTCCACTGTCTAATCCCTGCTGTTCTTAGAAGGTCCCAAGGAAGAAAAAGATGCAGTTTAAAGTTGAGGGCTGTCAGAGACGGGCAGCATTTCTGTGTCTCTCCCGGCTTCCTCTTTCTGCTCTTCAGCTCTGTATTCCAAGGGCCTTCTTCAGAGGGTGCTGTGAACTCTCTCATGGGGTGGCTATTGGGGTGAGCCCAAACGTCATGGCTTAGGGTGATGGGGTCAGTGCTGGCAGAAAGATGTCAAAGGGATGCTGCCTTGTGACCTTAAACGAGGACAATCCCAGGGCTGGATGCTTGCCCAGCTGGGGGCCCCCACCTCCACAGCCACATCCCATGGGTGGGCCAGATAAATTATGCTGTCCGACTGGTTCCTTCAAGCTCCCCCCTCTATCAATAGTTCCATTTAAATTGATTTTGGTGGGAGACTGTATTCTGTTTGCGAATGCTTGTTGTGCTATGGGGGGAGGGGGGAGGACCTGTAAGATAGTACCAAGGGCGAAAGGGAAGTCTTGGGGTGCAGCAGATAAACCGCGTGTAACCCTTTCCTTCACAATGCCAACCACATTTGCTAGAGGCAGTGAGGCAGGTGGAGTTGTCTGGAGAGGGGCTGCTCCAGCCTGCTGCAGTGCGTGGCCCAGGCCCACGTGCCGTCTCTGGCAGGATGGCACTCTCCACCACCACCGTCTGGAGGCACCAGACTCGCAGCCCCGACATTAACACTTGCCAAGATCTCTCCCTGTACTCCTTTATCTTTGTCCCCAAAGTAAAGCCAGGGGAGGTGGAGGTGGAGATCATCAGCTTGCCCCTTCTACAGACTTTGGCTTTCGAGACTTCGGCTTTTTTCAACTTTGAGAAGGGTTACCCTGGGCACTGCCTCAGTCTCAACTACTGGACTTCGCCCTGTGAACCTGCAATGTTGGGCAGGAAAGTTTCTGGCACTTGCAAGTCCCATTATTTCTTAGGTAAATTTGAGGGTGGGGGGAGGGACACAGACCATCTTAGCTTAGCTTCCTGTCTGTGAATGTCCATAATGGTGTATTGTGTTTTAACAAATGATTTACACTGACTGTTGCTGTAAAAGTGAATTTGGAAATAAAGTTATACTGATTCAATAAGGTCTCTGTGCATGGATTCAAATGACCAGAACAGTTTCAAGAGGTACCGTTCCCAAGTCCTGTCCCAGTCTGTGTGCCCAGCCCATCTCCTCCCTGTTAAGGACTTACCAGCTCTCTGGGGCCCTGAAGATGAAAGCCATTTTGAGATGAGCCCACTTCCTGCTGATTCATTCTGGCCTCGGCAAACCATCCAGCTCTAACTCAAAGGGCAACACCCTTGTGACTGAGCTCACCAGGCTGCACTCTGTTTGCGGGCCCCACACCATAGTGTGCTCAAACGTAGGGCTGGGGGGGAGCATGTTCCCCTCATCTTCTCTTCCCAGGAAACCAACGCAGAGCCCCAGGCTGAATGAGAAGGGTAGGCCGAGCCACTAAATGAATGGCTCAGGTCCTCCCAGGCCTGTGTTTCTCTCTCCTTTGGTGCCATATCACAGACTGGGGAATGTCTATTAATCCAGGTGTAGGAACATCAGAAACAAAGAGCAGTAACCCATCATACTGTTGCTAGTAATCAGGCGCAGGTGGTAACACTGCAGGCCAAGAGCTTTAAGCACAGGCCCTAACTGCAACCGCAGAGGCAGCACCAGGGTAGCCAGAGAAACGCTGCCCCAGTGCACGGCAGCGGACAGGCAGCGCACTGGCTGGCTGAGCCTCACACCCTGAAAGGTGGAGGTTTCGTGAAAGCAAGTGTGCCTGCTTATTTATATCTTGTGCAAAGAAAATGAAGCACCAGCCTCCTCAGAAGATGCTCTGATCTCAAGCAGCAATTCAGAAGCAGCTCAGGCTCCAATGTAAGACTACGTTCACGACCAACCCCAGATAGGCACGATCGCCACTAGAAAGCGACTCAGAGCCAGAACTGCTGTCCGCAGCGCCCCCTGCTGGGGGAGCAGCCCCAGCCTCCCCCCGGTGACTAGCAGATGACTCCACCAGATCTTGAACAGAGGCATCTCGCGGTTCAGAGCGTGTCAGGAGACCTGGGAACTCTCCAGCAGGGTGTGTCCCTAAGCTGCCACCACGGCCACGCCCAAGGTCAAGAAAAGCCCAGCACACAACATTCTGTAACTTTTTTTTTATTATTTTTTTCAATTTTTCCTTCCTTTTTTTTTTTTAAGCACTAGTTTGTGCTTTGCGAACAGAATCAAGACATTAACAAAGATCAGCTTCTCTGAAGAAAAGCATTTCTATAGAACAAAGACAGCTACATGTTTCGCTGCCAATACACAGCTCAAAGCAGGAAAAGAAAATATTTACAAAATACAAGTTTTTTTTTCCATTTTTGTTTTTGTCTTTTTTTTTTTTTTACAATGCTAAAAGGGTTATTCAGAATTTTCAACCTTATAAATAGAAGAAGCACTTTATGCATAGGGATATGGTGCATTATTGTTTTTTAAAGAAACAATGACAAACCCTTTAACTTGCAAACAGAATCAAAAATAATCACTAATGTTGAAAATTGTGAAAAAACCCCAACCATTAAGCAGTTTGTCTACTATTTTTTATGATTACAAAATGGCCACCAAAAAAAAAAAAAAAAAGTCCTCATCGTGCCCCTTTTTGGTGATGTGATCATACATGAGGCAGGCACACTTGGTTAACCAGGGGCTGCAGGGTGGTGATGGGAACCACAGCTAGGACCAGACAATGTTCCACAAGCAAGGGGCGCTTGACGAGCGCGCGCCTGACCAGCACGGCAGGGGCAGTATGGAGGCGCCCGACTGACGGAGTCAGTGGAACAGACGTACACAGGGAGCTGCTGCTCGTTTCCCAGACGCCCCGGACTGCGGGGGGTGGGAACGAGGTTAAGTAGTCCTAACCCTACCTTCATAGACAGGAAAGGTGCTAAAAAAAAGTGTGTGTGTGTGGTGGGTGGGGTAGGGGGAGGCCCGGGGGGCGGGGGCCAGTACAGGGGACAGATGAGGCACGGGAGGGCAGGATGGGGACCTGAGCAGCCGCAGCCAGGACACTGCAGTTAAGGAGTACAACAGATGACCACAGCAGAGGACATCCAAAATGGGTCTCCACGATCTGAGTGGGATGGGAAAGCCATTCTGTTGGCTGAGAGCTCGACGGGAACAGCTGGCACCTACGACCAAGAGGCTCTGGTGGGGTGCTTGGGGACCCAGCCAGGGGTCTGGCTAATTCAGGCCACAGATGGGGGGGCCTCCAGCGCAGAGCCGCTCTTTCCCACCTTAAAATGAGGCCACGCTGAGCTGGAACTTTCCCCTCTCTCTGCCCACTTGGTGTTTCCACCTGCCCACAGGTGCGAGGGGGAGGGGCGGTCATCTAACATGGCTAAGTCCAGTGATTCAACAGTGCAGAGGAGGCGCCAGGACCAGGCCAGCGGGTGTGAGCCCAAACTTCTGTTTGCCAACAAGAGGAAGTGCTCAGGTGTGTGACAACAAAACATGGAAACAAATAAAACAAAAATCAAAACAAGAAAAAAATACCAAAGTAGAATCTAAATTCCTTAAATTCACTAAAAACTGTGAAAATTTCCGGCATATGATGTTTGAATATCAAACGCAGAGATTTCTGAAGCTTTAATGCCAATAGTTAGTGAGTCTGTTTAGATTCTTGTATCCTGCTCATCTGTGAGTTGGACGCTGGGCTGTGACTGCCGCCGCCAGGTGCCGACTCTTGGGGGGGACGACAGGAGGTGACGTGGGCGCCACCTCTGTCTCCCGGCCAGTCCTGCTGCCTGAGGCGCGCCGAGTGCAGCGGGCCGCCCGCTCCTGCGCATCCAGCGGGTCCTCGCACTCTGCCTGAGGACTGTACGCCAGAGGGAAGGTCCGCCGCTCCCACGGCTGCACAGACTGTGGGCAGA